TCCCCTTCCCCTTCCCCTTTCCTTTCTCCTTCTCCTTCATCTTGATTTTTCAAGACAAGATTCCTCTGTGTAGCTCTGGCTATCCTAGAACTTGCTCCATAGTACAAGCTGGCCTTGAACTCACAGAGATCCCCGTGCCTCTGGCTCCAAAGTGCTGACATTAAAGTCATATAGCTTAAATGCTTTCTTCTATAAGTTGCTTTGGCCACAGTGTTTTGTCATAAAACAGAAAGTAACTAAGAAAGCCAATAAGCCAAGAACTTTGGAGGCAGGCCACATAGACCTAAGGAGGAACTGAGGATGGGATCCAGGCTTACTGCATAATTTGTGCAGGAAACTGCCTCCGTGGCTGAGTATGGTAACATTAACTGGTCTTCTCAGATAAGGAATTCTTCCGCTTCTGTATTTGTAATAAAGAATGCTACCATCCCCTCTGGGTGGCCTTGGTCATCCCAAAGCAACTTACTGTTATTGTGGCAGTTCCCGCAATTTTGAGTAGCAGCAAGAACACACTTCAGTCTGGTTTGTGAGCCTTTGGGGTGAAATGACAGATACAGACATGAGTCATTCACCATGTTTTCAGCACCCAAGAAGCCCTTGGCCCTCTCGGCAGTCCTACACTGTTGCGTCCTTTCCATCATCCTCTAACCAAAAACGAAGCACACGGTCACTCCTTATCTATCAAACATCTGTCGCTCTAATACAGTCAGCCCCCAGTTCCCAAAGCAGGGTCTATCTGCACAGCATGCTCACTTTTCAATTCGAATGTAGAGAACAAGTTATTAGAGGCATATTCTTAGTGTGTCTTCAAGACTCTGCTCCCAGGCCTGCACAGAGGTAAAGGAAAGTCTAAGACAACTTGTTTGATGGTTTATGGTGCTGAAGAAGCCATGGCCTCTTAGATTCTAGGGAACCACTGAGATACTAACCCTCCCTAGCTCCCCTCCTACCTTCCAGCTTATTTCCTTTAGAGATAGTTCATCTGATTTTTCCCATATAATAAATCTGCCTAAAAATATTGAAAAGGAAAACCTTAGGCAGCTGAACTTCCCCAGCACACTCCAGAATGTTCTAAGTGGACTTGCAGCAATGCTTGGGCCAATGTGGCTCCAGCGTGAATCCATTCAAAGAGACTCGTGTTAAGATTTTAAGACACTATTTTTTCCTTTTTAAAAATCTTTTTTGTTCTGAGAAAGAGTCTCATAGCCCATGGTTATAAAAATGTGCCACCTTACCCGGCACATCGTGCTGGGGTCCAACCCAAGGCCTTGCACATGCTAAGCAAATATTCTGTAACTGAGTTATATCCTAGTTCTTTTTTGGGTTTATACTTTTATTTTAGTTAAAATACAGCCATGGTACACATGTACAAGGCAGCATGCATGGAATCTACCACAATGGCTTTATAACTTCCTCATATTTATTTTCATTCCAGTGTTAAGCTTTAAGTCAGATGTGGTAGCACATGACATAACACTGTCCCTCACAGGGCTGAGGCAGGTTTGTAAGTTTGAGGTCAGATTGTGTTACCTGCCAGTTCTGTGCCAGTTTGAGCCACAGTGGGGAGGAGTAAGGGGGGGAGACACTAGAGAGATAGCTTAGTTATCAAAATGCTTGCTGGAGGTCCGCAGTTTGATCCCCAGCACCCACTTAAAAGCCAGGCATAGCAGCGGGTGCCTATAATCCTAGTTCTGGAGAGGTAGACCCAGATCCTTGGGCTGTCTGTCCAGCTAGTCTAGATGAATGAGTGAGCACCAGGTTTAATGAAAGACCTCTCCAACAAAAGAAAGGAATGAAGGAAAGAAGGGAGGGAAGGAGGGAGGGAGGGAGGGAGGGAGGGAGGGAGGAAGGAAGGAAGAGAAGAAAGAAGAGGAGAGGAGAGGAGAGGAGAATAAGCTGAGAGGGACCAAGAAAAAAACACATGACATTGACCTTTGGCTGCTGCACATATGTACACACAGAAGAACACACACACACACACACACACACACACACACACACACACGGTGGGGTGGCTCTCATCTGCGGTGACAGATTTTTCAGGTACCCTGACCTGATCATTACACATCAGACATACAGAACTCCTTTGTGTTAAATACATTCACAGTCCTCTCTATTATATATTTCAAACAGTAAGTCAGTTATCACTCATCATTATGTCACTGAACTATAGAACACTGGAAGTCGTTTCTTGGATCTAACTACATGCCAGTACCCATTACATATCCTCTCAATTCTCCACTCCCACACACCCTTCCCAGACTCTGATTACTATTCCATTCTGCATTTTAAGTTATATCTTATTGTATGTGTGTCTGTGCACATGTGTGTATGAGAGAGAGAGAGAGAGAGAGAGAGAGAGAGAGAGAGAGAGAGAGAGAGGAGAGAGAGAGAGAGAGAGAGAGAGAGAGAGAGAGAGACTGACTATGTATGAAACATGCCATGGAATATGTGTAGAGACAGTGAACAACTTTGTGTAGTCAGTTTGCTCCTTCTACCTCAATGTGGATTCCAGGGACTGAACCCAGGATACCAAGGCTTGCACGGCAAACACCTTTACCCACTGAATCATCTCGCCAGCCCCTATACTCTATTTCTTTGAAATAAAATTTTTACCTCCATATATAAAAGAGAACATATATTATGTAAGTTTTTTTAAAGCGCTAGTCTGTGGCTCAGTGATAGAGTACTTGATAGAAGTCCTGGATTTAAGCATTGTACAGAGAAAATAAAATAAAACAAAAACACTTCACTAAGGTATGTCTCAGTCAATGGTGGAATGTTTTTTGTTATTCAGAATGCTACGGCAGGAGAGTAACAAGTTCAAGGACAGCCTGGACCACAGAGTGAAGTTCAATGGCAAACTGGGGATCTTGGTGAAACTTCAAAGGTAAAAGATGACGGTTGAGAAGACAGCACAGACAGTAATTGTATATATGTGTGAGGCCCCAGATTCAACCCTTAGTCCTACAAAAGACTTCCATCACTTAAGAACATGAATGTCTTTTTGTTTGTCTGCCAGTGGCCTTCCCCAGACTTTTGGGGAATGGTACTGGGCAGGACATAGTATAGGATGAAGTCTAGAGACTGATGATCCCTGGCTTATAATCTGATTTTATTTGTGCTTTAGTAAGTGTTGATTTCTTACTGTTTGTGCTTTAATAAGCACTGGTTTCTTACTCCATAATTCTAACTCTCTTACTATTTGTGCCTTAATAACTGCTGGTTCCTTACTCTGTAAATGTTTTACTATTTTGTGCTTTAATAAGAGCTGGTTTCTTACTCTGTAACTCTGACTCTCTTATTGTTTGTGCTTTAGTAAGTGCTGGTTTCTTTCTTCCAAGGACTTCTCACTGGCAAAGTGAGAGGTTCGGAACTCACTAACTCTTTGTGAATCAGAGAGAATAGGATGGAAGACAAAATCCTTTACAGAGGCAATATGCACAGACACACACTCTGTTGGAGCTCGGCCATCTGTCTTATCAACTCCACAAGTGTTCATGCATACTTACATACATACACATATACCTACACATGTATGTGTAGCCAAACACACACACACACACACACACACACACACACACACACACACATATTAGGATGGATGGGTGGAGCAGAGCCCCCAAGCCAGCCACTTCATTCCTTTTATCTGGCCTTCTTATACCTTCTTAGACAAAAGTTCTTTAGAAAATTACCCCATAGATAAAATAGTATACAAAAGAGGAGTTATAGAAGGATGTCAAAGCAGTGTTGCATTCTATAGGCTCATCATGAGATCAAATCTACAGTTTGGCCTCGGTTAATGATAGTGCACACCTGTGGCTTCATCCTTGGATCTGACCTACAACAACTGTTTTTCCTTGATCACAAATTTGTCTTAAGCCTATTCCTCTTCTTAGTGTAATTGTGAAAGTTCACTGTTCTTATTATGCAGCCTTTACTTACTATTCTATGTGGAGTGGGCACCTTTACTCTTGATTCTGCTTTTATTAAATCTTTCTGGCAAAACAGCTAAAACTATCTCCCAAAAACATTCTTTCTAAGATTATTTGAATCAAACCAGGAATTCTATAAAACCATTAATTCATCTAAACAGCATTAATTCATGAAAGTTCATCTTTTGCCCAATAATCATTAAACTACATAATGGTGACAGGAAAAGCATATGAACAGTAAGAAGCAATCCTGAGATGAAGTCTCTTGGGCCTTGCTTCTCAGAGCTCACTCATTGCAGGGCATGCAAAAATGGTGGGCCATCTCCAGAGCATACTTGCATTCCTTTAGTCTTTCTTAGATGACTCCTGACAGTTGTCCAGGAATGGGTTCCTCGAGGCAGTGTTGTTCTTGATTCCCATCATAACATAAAAGGAAACTCTCACAATGTCTGGAGCCCTTGGTGTCCTGCAGATGAAAGAGGAGGATTATCTGTGGGTCTGTGGTACCCGTGCATGGGCGTGGGTCCTGTTGGGCTGCCTTGTGGATCCCACGTGTCTGCCGCCCCAGGCAGCTGGAACCACGGCTGGAGGAGCAGAAGCGCAGAAATTTGACTGAGTTCACTCCACAGGGTGCCAGGCGGACACTGGGCTATGAGAAGCCACCAAGCTCCGCCCAGGCGTGGAGAGGTCTCAGCCTGAAGACCCTCAGTGCAGAGCTCCTGGGTTAGGGGTTTCCAGGCCGAAGCAGCTAGATGGGGACCGGCTGGTCTCTGTCCTTGGGACACCACTGGGAGCCACAGAAGAACTGAGACGTGGGGCCATTCTGGCTGGACCACCCACAGCCAAGAGGGGCGAGAGGGAGAAGCTCCGGCAGCACCCCGAGGGGTAGTAGTACTCTTGGTCACTGCGATTTGCTTGGCTGGGTCAAGACTGGCTCAGCCAGCTTGCTTGAGTTGGCAGGGATCTGTGGCCGGAACATAGAAAGGTCCTCCACGGGAGATTAGACAGCAGTGGCTCTGTAGTCAAAGGACCCCTCTACGGTTCTCCACAATGGGCCCCAAAGATAAGAAGTCCATGGTTTTAAAAGATTTATTGTCATGACGGAAAGTGGATGTAGCTGTACCCTGTGTCCTCAGGGTGGGCCTGAGGCTAAATACCATTTGTAAGGAGGATGGTCTGGGAAGGAATGCTTAATTGGCTGTGCCCTCTGGTCTTTAGGTATCTCATTAATATGGAGATCTCTTGAGGCTCTGCTGCCTGTAGTCATTCCCTCTACCTGTGGAGGTGCTGGTAGGGGTGTTGCCCTACATGACTGAAAGGTGCAGATCAATGGAGGTCTTCGGCCATGTGTCAGGAGCCTGGAGTCTGGGAGCGTAGCAAAATGCATGCCATCCCTTGCAGGGATAGCTGTTGGGTCTGTGGCCATCTCTGGCCAAGCTATCCTTTCACGGCCCCACAGATATCCTCAAATTGCTTACCACAGGAACTTACTTAGGTGGCAAGAACTTTGACTTCCAGATGGAACAGGACATATATAAAAGGAAAGGGGATGGGCCTGCATAATAAATCTGAAGAGAACTTGAAAATTATGATCTAGAGCTCAGAGAGATCTAGAATATAGCCCATGCCCTGACTATTTTGCATTTAGGTAGCAAAGAGATCCCCATAAGAGACTCAATTGTCTGGCAAACATGCGTGCAAAGGAGAGTCATCAGCTCAGGAAGTTAGCACAGTAGAGATATGGACTGGCCTGGTAAGCAAGGCAGGGGGAGCAGGAGAAGCAGGGTGTGAGGCTGGGGAGATAACTTAGAAAAGTGTCTACTATGTAGGAAGGCATGGGGATCAATTTGATCCCCAGAACCCACATTAAAAAAAAAAGCCAGGCATTGCCAGGCAGTGATGGCATATACCTTTAATCCTAGCAGTTGGGAGACAAAGGCAAACAGATCTCTGGTCTACAAAGCAAGTTCACACTGTCTTTCAAAAAAAAAAAAAAATGCCAGGTTGACAATGTTTTTTAAAGCATAGCACTGAGAAGGCAGAGCTAGGTGGATACCTGGGACTTGCTGGTCTAAGTCAGCAATGACACTCAACATTGATCTCTGGCCTCAACACATATGTATACACAGGTGCACACATACAAATGAAAACTAGAAACAAAGGGAGGAAGAGGAGGGGAGGGGAGGGGCGAGGAGGGAGGAGAGGGAAAGGAAAGGGAAGGGGAAAGGGAAGGTGACTCTCTCTTGAGAGCCCAGACCCACTCTGAGTCTGTCTGACGCTCTGTAGAGCTTCCTTGAAAAGCCCATATCCACACTTTTGTTATTTCTAAACTCTTGCCCTCAGGCTTATATTGAAACATATTTTTTAAAGACTTTTTAAAACTGTATATGTATGTGGAGGTTAGGGGTGTGTGCGCATGAGTGTCAAGTGCACATGAAGGCCAGAGGCACCAGATCCCCAGAACTGAACTTACTGGCTGGACTCAGGTCTTCTACAAGAGCAGTATGTACTCTTGATTGCCACATCATCTCTCCAGATCTGAGTTGTCTTGGGGCGAGGTGTGGTGGGAGGAGGAGGAGGAGGAGGAGGAAGAGGAGGAGGAGGAGGAAGAGGAGGAGGAGGAAGAGGAGAGAAGAGAAGGAGGAGAGAAGAGGAGGAGGAGAGAAGAGGAGGAGGAGGAGGAGGAGGTAAGAAGGAGGGGAGAAAAGAGAGAAAAAAGAAACTCCATTGTGGAAAAAGACAGGAGCACAGGAGCTAGTCATGGGTGTGAGCTCAGACTGGAAATCTCATTACCTAGAAACAGAAGAGCCTGGCTTCCCACCTCACACAAAGGTGAACACGTTATGCATAGTCAGTGCCCTTGAGGAAAGACAACTTTGCAGGGCCACAGACGCGACAGAGTGGCTGACGTCAAGTGGGGAAGTCATAGACATTACTCCACTGATTTCTGTGCTCAAAAGCCACGAAACCAAAGCGGGTTCTTGCCCACACAATGCCTTCCTTGTACGATAGAAACATAGCTTGTGTTATATAAACCAGTCCTCCGATGGTTGTTTTCTGCCAGTCATGATGGCGGGGCTTTCCACTCTGCTGTCTTCAAAACTGTTGGGAGGGGCATAGTCCAAACAAACCCTGTCATGTCCTGTGGGTGTCTGCTGACAGCAGTGTACTTGTTGACTTCAGCTCCCCTGATGTAATAACGGGGGCCTCATATGGGTTTCTTCTAGAAGGGATGTCTGCAGTCCTGTTTGGAAATCTGAGCGCTAGAGAGGCTGACTCACTTCCGGTAGCCTACTGCCCCTGCAGAGCACGGAAGCAATCCCACTAACAGCCTTGAGCTGGCTCACTAACTCTTCACTACCAGAGAAGAAGCAGCTGTAAAGACAAATAACTTCTCCTACCTTTGTAGTCTTTACAAGAGACGTTAGACTAAATACAATTAGCACTAACTCTAATTCAGACCTTTCAGAAGATGATCAATGCCAGTTAATCTTTCATTTGTTTTTGTTTTTTGATACAGGAGCTCATCCATTGCTCAGGTCTAGAACTCACTGTGTAGCTCAGACTGGACTTGAACTTGCAGCAATCCTCATACATCTCCTGAGTGTTAGGATTGTAGGTATGAGCCACCATAACTACCTTCTGCCTATTAATTTAAAGGTGTGTTCTGTCACTTCACAGCTATTAGCTGGTGTGTGTGTGTGTGTATGTGTGTGTGTGTGTCTTTTCCCACAACAACCAATTTCCCAGCACTAGCTGGGCATCCTGTAATCTGGTTTTGACACTTAATTCCTGGAGTTAGAGCCTGCTTTCACAGCTTGGTCCGTGTTACTGTAGGAACCGTTTTTTGAGCACTTGGAGCCATCAGAAGGTGGGGCCTGACTGGAAGAAGTGAGTCACCCACTAAGGGCAGGCAACTCAGTTGGTGGGGGGAATAGGGGCGTGTTCCACTTTCTGCTTTCTGTCTGTGGTCATGATGTGAGGAGCCCCAGCCTAGGATGAAGCCTCCCACCACCATGCCCCTCCTGTCGTGGTGGAGTGCAGGTCGTCCGGAAACCATGTGCCAAAACAAACCTTTCTTCTCTTAAGGTGCTTCTGGCCAGTATTTGTCAGAGTGAGAAAAGTGACTCATTCAGCCCAAGACTTCCTGCACTTCACAAGTCCAGGTATCCCGTGCTTCTGGTCAACTGTTGTAAGTTAAAGATTCCTAGAATCCCCTGCTCAACTTTAATCGTTTGGTAAAGTGGCCCCCAGAGCTTGAGGAATGACCACCTCATCCCTTCCAACCAATCACCACACAGCTCTCACGAGCAGATGACTCCAAAGCAGCTTTTCTGCTATCAACTTAGCCTCTTCTTTTATGTCCTGTCCCAATATGATGTTCATTCACTTGAACATATCATAATTACCTATACTAACATTGAGCAGTTTCTATGTGTTAGGCACTGGTCTAAACACAGAGAATGTACCTACTCGTTTAATATTCACCATATTAAATACAGGCAGATATTCTCACCATGCCCATTTTGCAGGCCATAAAACTGAGGTTCAAGATTCTTACCATTAATAAGCAATAATGAGCATATGAGCACAGAGCCTGGCACTCTACTCACTGTGTCTTACTGTCATTTATTAAGGTACAACTTTCTGACTGTAGAATACCTACAACCGACCCTGACTGTGGCTGATTCCACAGCAGCAAATCCTGTGTCTTATTGTCAATGTTTGTTTCCTGAGACATCATCTTACTCAGTAGCCTACATTAGTCTGAAACGTACTGTGTACATCAAACTAACCCCCAATTTAAAGCAAACCTCCTGAATCAGTTCCTACGTGCTGGGATTACCATTGTGAGCCTCCATGCCCGACTGTGAACTATGCCATTTGAGAATCCAACATTGCATTCTGTTTTCTGGGCAACGCCTCTCAGCACAGCCAGACAGCAGGGACCTTGTCACTGGGCTTGGCAGATGTTCTTAGCCTGCTTTTGTCACAAAGTCCAAAGGATCACAGAAGAGCTGCTTCCCCAGCTGGATGGTTCTGAGGCCTGTGTTCTCCCCTCTGGAGCCCATTGTTTGCAGGGTCCATTGTTTTTTTTTAAAGGGGGGCATTGTTCTCCTGTCTGGTTTTGTGTTCTTCTTCCTGTCCATCTGGTCACTGACCATTGTTCTCATTTGTTTGCTCACTGTTGCTGTGATAACATGATGAGAAAAAACACCTTAGGAGAGGAAAGGGTTTATTTCAGCTTACATTTCCAGGGGCTCACAGTTCATCCTGGGAGGAAGTTAGGCTGTGAACTTGAAGCAGAAACCATGAAGGAATGCTTCTTGCTGGTTCACAAGTTTATGCTTAGCTAACTTTCTTACATAGTTCAGGACCAGCTGACAAGTTATTCTTCGACAACAACATGAGCCAATTCAAGCCAAATTAAAGTATATAAAGACAGGTTTGTTGGGGGGCAGCTGT